TATAAATTTCACACTTAAAAAGAGTTTACAACGACATTTGTTAAAGGCATTCTGTTTTGGTCTCGTCAGCTTTATTGCACTTTGCTGAGTTCGGCGTGATTTTCCGTTTCTTCTTCTTCTTGTGTTTTCGTTTATTTGTGCTTTGAAACCCAAAACAAGATATCGGTTATAAATCTTGGCTTTCCGACACCATTCATCTAAAGAATATGCGCATGGCATTCCAATGGCTATCTAAAAACCGACCCGACAGGTTTTCTAGCATTCGAAGTCCAAGTAAGATTCATTTACTTAGCTGAAAATGTTTAAAAACTCATCCAAAAACTCAAACCCTGACGAGCCGAAAGCTACTATTAGAAGAAACTACTTTCGCAAATCAAAACTAAAAGAATCACCATAAGACGCATCCTAGAGTAAAATTTGCATTAAAATCAGATCGGAACAGAGATGCCAGAATTGCTTACTACCAATTTTCAAATAGAAACTTCGTTTACTATTTGTCATGATATATTCGGAAAGTAATTCAGCTTAAAACGCTAATCGAGAGTTTTGAATTGCCGATACCAGAACTGAGGTTATAAAAAACTGGAACTGCTACAACAATCTGTGTGCTGCTGAGTTAGATCGTAGTTTTGCAGAGCTTCAGTACCCACCAAGTATAGTTACTGATTACCAAAAGCTTGCTTTATTCGTGTTTTCAGCAGCTTTGCAATGACGCTTAACTTTTGAACAGTTACAAAAGTCGATAAGCGTTTTAGTCTCTGGTGCAAACACGAAATTCTACGCTCTGTCCTTGTAATGTTAATACTCGGCATTCACCGCCGCCACTCATCTTCGAACATCAAAACTATCCACACCTCTCCTAGCTTGCCCTGTTTAGGCTGTTCGCCATCTCTATTTGACCAGCAGCTGACTCGTGCCCCACTGGGCATACAACTTTTCGTGTTGAGTTGCCACAGCAGCTGTGGCAGACAAATTCTCATTTTCGCATTCGTACGTGTCCGGCGGGCTGGACTGCCGGCGCCACTGCTGACTCAACTGCGGGTGAGATATCGGTCCCAGCACATCAACACTTCAAGTGACAGCAATACTCAGTTTTTTCACTTTCTGATTTCTTTTTTTCCCAGTATTAAGACTGCGTATTAGCGGCCAAATGGCCTCCTCACTTCCGGTCACGTATAACGGATTCACTTGCGTTGCATGTGAAGGCCAAAAAGCACGTGCGGATAGTCGTTTGCGGCCAAATATTCTAGTGAATGGCGAGTGTGTTAACGACCGAAGAGGAAAAGAAAATGCATTAAAGGCAAACTAGAAAAGTAATACAAATATTTATGAAACTCTGCAAAGTTATCAAAAATTTGGTTTCCTCTTTAAGTCGAGGGATTTTGAGTAATACTGAGTTTCATTTTATAGCACTAGGATTAATGAAAATCTTCATTATTGGCTAGTTTTATGCGCTCAACGTGCTTTCAGCTCATCTAAACTTTTATCGAAGAAACAATGAACGAGTAAAAACTACTGGCACACAGGTAGTGGAAACCAGATGGCAATATTGTCTAGCTTAGACAACTTCCAAAGTTGTATTTAACAAATAGTCGAACTCGATTCTATGTCAGATATGGGCTAAGGCTTGAAATTGACTGGTCTCCTTGGGGATAATAATGAAGTTTCAAGATGTTATTTTAGTATTGCTTGGAAAGGATCCGAAAATTTTAATGTCCATTAAGAATTTGCTTGACTGTTCGGTTAGCAAATCGATGTCGAGAATATCTTACACGCTCTCAAAAGTTAGAACTAAAAAAAAAAAAACTGAACGACGCTTTCTTCTTCCAAAATGTAGATAATACTTGTTGGAATTTCGGCGGATCCAATTTGTATGTAACCGATTTTTTTGACCATGTAACTCCACATTAATAATATGCTCAGTTTTTAAATCGTCCGCCGATTTTTGTGAAATACGAATTTAGCAATGTAGCCGGCTTTCAATCACGGTGTTAAGTCTAAGGTGTCATAACCAAGGATTTTTTGTTAGCTATTTCTGAACTTTAGGTCTATTAAATTTTTATTGTGCTACGAACTAGATATATTAACTCAGTGAGCCAAGCCAAAATTGTACCAATCATGTGTTTTTCATGTCCAAGACAGCAGTTTCCAATAAAATAATTTCTAAACATAAGGCTTTACGGGTGTATAACTTAATTTAGTAATTTTCGTCGCACAGATTCAGCTATTTTGGCGTTAAAAAGCGTCCAAGCCATACTGCATTTGTCATTAACATTAAATTTGGACCTACCTACTTATGAATTAATGACATTGCTGGTGCAAATAATAAATTAAATGAGAAGGGAACTCTTAGAGTTCTTAAATATGGTGTTGGGTGGGTTTTCGATGCATAACCTCACTTCCTAACTAATTACTTAAGTTTTCTAATACTCTGAACCTCGTAAATTACTTGAAAATTAAAAAAAAGGGAATAGAAATATACTTCCAAGGCATAAAATCTTAGACTAGACTATACTAAAATATAAAAATAAGAATTGTACTCACATACTTTCCTCTCTCGGCAGCCATAAACACTTCCTCGCTGCACTCATTACCGTTCGGATGCACCCATACATACGCATAGTCATATAAATCAACTTAAAACACTTCATGCCGTTATAGTCAGTTGTACCAATAATGAAGTAGTTTTTTGCCAAATTAGTCAGCTTCTGCTCCGACCTGCTTCGCTACTCATAATCACCTTTTGCTTCTTGCAAGACTTCGAAGTGTGTCTGGGGTGCTTTGGATACATACTTTGTTGCCGTGCGCCAAGTGCCGAGTGTCTCGCAAAACTTTGCTTGACTTATTGCATTTTCGAGTCACTTTTAATTGCATTTGTCGTACAAGAACGGTGTGATAAACAGCCTGCAAACAAAAACGGAATCAAAAAATAACATTAAAATGTGGAGTTGCAAGAAAAGTGAAATGGCGGGTTATGAAGTGCAATAAACAAGCTGGTAAGTGAATTCTTATTTATAGTACAATGCTACAGTTATCTAAGTTTTGTTGCACAAATGGCAGTTGCGCCGTAATTTGTATTTAATGAGCGGTAAAAACGCCAGCAGTTGAAGCGAACACTCGTTAAATCGTTTTTACTACAGTTAATGGCGTGTAAGAGATGCCGGGAGAAGTGATAAGTGACGCAGACTAAGTGAATGCCGCATGTGGCAAGTGGACTGCAATTAGGCGGTTAGTGGCTGCTTTCAAAAGAGTAATGGAAAAGATTTACATTTGAAAAAAAAAAAAATATTTTTTAAACTAAAAAAATTAAAAAAAAAGAAAATAAAAATTTAAAATAAAAAAAATTTATATACAAAATTAAAAAAACAAAAACAAAAAATTTTTGAAAATAAAAAAATTTCAAAAATAAACGAATTTTGAAAATAAAAGTTTTTGAAAATAAAAACGTTTTGCAAACAAAAACGTTTTGCAAAAAATTTTAAAATAGAAAAAATTGCGGAAATAAAAAAAATTTTGAAAAGAAAAGTTTTTGAAAATAAAAAAGTTTTGCAAATAAAAAAAAATTTTAAATGAACGAATTTTGAAAATAAAAACATTTCGAAAGTAAACACATTTCAAAAATAAAAAATTTTGAAAACAAAAAAATTTAAAAATAAAAAAAATTTTAAAATAAAAATGTTTGAATACATTTTTTTCGTTGATATAAATTATACAAGCACGATTTCTATAGAGAATATCCAAAGAGAGGTATGCTTTTATTTTCTCTCTCTCTCTTTCAAATGGAAACATGTTTTAAGCGAGCTCAAGGTAGAGCAAATTAAGATAACAGGTCAATTGAAGGACAAGGCGAGGACAAGCTAGGGATTAAGCGAGTAGCCAACATACCTTTCAAGGCACTGAAGTTCTCATATTGAGTAGCTAAGATTTGAGAAGATATACTAAGATTTCGACTATTATTAGTTAAGTTTTAACTTATTTGTAACAAAAAATTTTGGCAGGTTTTTACTTTAAAAATTTTCAAGTGTAAATTTTTCGTTCCTTTCCAGCACTTTTGCGCCAATATTTTTCCATAAATTGTTTGCCATCAATCTATTTCCTAATATTTTCGAACTTTGATTCAATTTGCATCTTTGTTGATTGCTTCTCAAATCAAACACTTCTAGTTAGAAAAATGATTTGCATAGCGAAAAACTTTAATTACTTCCTTATGTCTGAATCTTTGACAAGCGGCGCTTTCTTTTTTTTTTTTGGAAACGTAAAGTATTTGTTATTCAAAAAATTTAGATATTTTAAATGCATTTTTAAGCGGCTGATGGTAGCAAGAAGATAAAAAACTAATCAAAAAGCACAATTCAGAGCTTACTCCCTCCTAAAGCCTAGTACAAGATAATTTTCAGGTATCAAACCCTGTTTATTCGAGTAATGAAGAGCTTTAATTTATATTCTTTGAAAAAAATTACACAATTTTATAGTTAAATTATAATAAAAAAAAATTGCATAAAAAATACAGCATACGAAATGTAAGAAAAGAAATTTTTTTTTTCATATTTAAAATAATTTTTTTTATAAATTCTATACAAATAAAACAAGCGCGTGTCCGTTCGTCTGTCCTTCGTTCGTTTGAAGTCTTTATTGGAAACCAACGATTTCTTACAAGTTTCATTAACGTTCAATATACATATTATAATAATTTGATAGAAAACAAATAAATAGCATAATTTTTGATATTTTTTTTAATTAACACAAAAACATTTTTAAAAATATTTTATATAATAACAAACACATTTTATACAATTTTTTTTACATAAAACAACACAAAAAAGTTTTCCTTGCATTGCGCTAAAAATAAATATTAAATTTAAATATATATTTTTAATTATTTTGTTGCTTTGGTTCATAATATACATTTTTTCTTTTAAATTTTATGCACACAATAAAATATGTTTACGGTTTTTCGTCTACGCTAAACTTTTTTATAACTGTCTAAGGCTAAGCACATATTGAAGCTCAAGCGAAGTACACAATACTGAAAGAGCGAGGACACACAACACTACGCGAGTTGCATAGTTAAATATACTTTCCTGTTCGTTAATTTTTTCCGTTACTCAGCACTCTACACCGCTATGTGCTTAGCCTTAATGATAACTTGACTGCTTTTCTTATAGAACACCCAAAATTAATTTTTCCGTCCGTCATTTTGCAACACCAGCGACTTTAGGCAAGCGTTCAGTTCAATGCGTGCGTCAAGTCCATTTGTCAAGACCTACTACTCTTTCGTGTAACTTTATAAGTGTGTAGTAGTGTTACTATCTTCCGTACTGTCTAGCGTTTGCGTCGTCCGGCAAATTTTCGCTGACGTGCCGTTTTACCGAGCACCACTCTCGGCGCATCCGGATCTTTAACAGTCTGAGGACGTATTTGACATTCACGCGCCGCATCCACCACAGCTTCATCGTAACGTATGTTTGAATATTTCTCTATCACTATTTCGTAATCGTTTCCAAAAAGATATGTACGCAGAAATTTACGAATATTGCCCAACATACGACCAGTTAGGCAACGCCATAAGAAACCGCGAAACTTCCAGATCAGGAATATGGTAGAAAAAGTAAAAATAACCAAATCCAGTCCGAGCATTTGTAGTTGTGTCATTTCGGCGGCCGGCGAACGCATATGTGGCGTGCCTCTATAGCGCAACACATAGTTCACCCAATAGAGTACTGTTTCCCGCGGCGTCAACTGGCGATCGCGATATAGGAGCGAGTAAAGGGCCGCACGCTCCTGATATGACTGATCGTTGAGCATGCTAAAGAGCTTGCTTCGAATTTCATTCGTATTTGTGTTGTAGGCGTCAATGCGTTGTGCGAGCTTGAATTGTGCTAGAAACTTGACGTTACCTACTAGTTCGCTCGAGTAGGTCACGCCCAACATGGGCACAGCATGATATTGGCCCTCCCCTAAGCTGCTCATACTGCCGTGTGTTATGAAGAGCTTCACTTTCTTCTGCGCTAAAATATCGTTCTGTGGCATCCAGCGCGTGTAAAGTATTTTCGATCCTTGTCGCGGCTTGCTACAATGCGACCAACGCCATAGTACGTAGCGTTGTGATTCGACGAGCACTTCGTGCAATGAATCGAGCAGCGCTCTGGGCAAGTCAGTGCAATTGACACCCTTACCGAGATTGATATAAATAACACCGTCTTCGGCTTTGTTTATATGGTCGGCTATGTGTTGCGGCAAAGGAATGCGACGTTCTGGTATTTGTATGCCACCAATCTCCACCATCGTCGGCACATTTGGGCGTATGGGTCCCTGAGTGAAATGATTATTGGTGAAGACCAATGAAATATTGCGACGCACATCGTCCATTCTGATATTCCGGCAGTTGAAGTGTAAACTGAAATGTAGAAGAGTTCATAAGGACGAATGATATAACCGCGAATTGTCAAGGAAGCAGCAGAAACACATACTTCGAACTACTGTGTAGGCGGTAGAAAACTTCGTGTCCGCCGCCGATTAACCCCTCAATGAACTTATCGATAATCATATTTATTAAACGTGTTAGATAGGAATTCGATATTAAACGGCTCTCGGCGAATTCGGATGTCAAGTAGCCCTCCTCGCGCGGATTACCCACCTCCCAATTGGTTATGAACGAGGGAGGCGTTTCGGTGGTCAATATAATGGGCGTTTTAAAGCAGCCGGCAAGCATCAAATGTCTGAGATTGAAGTAATACGCCAAAATGACCAAATTAAATGTTCCTGGTGGATACGCGTCCAAAAGCCCCGCATAATATCTGCCCAGTTCGGCAAACTGCTGCCACTGATAGTACAATTTCATAAACCGATTGGAGGGCTCGTATGTTTCAGCCGAGGACTCGGTTTTAGCCAAGCGTACGTATTTGAAATTGGAATGTTGAAAGGGTGAGGGTATCGGCAAGACACCAACAACCGTAACATCGTGATACCGCGCGAGAAAGTCCGCCAAACGCAGGTGATAGCGAAATGCCTCCAAATTGTAGGTCGCAAAGAGGCATAAGATGCTTCCATGAACACTCGACGTGTGTCGTTGGAAGGCGTTGCACCTATTGAGCAACACAGTCAGTAGTAGGCCGAGCTGACAGTATAAGAGGCATGTACGCATTTTCGTAAGAAATTTTGCGTGTTTAAAAGTGCCACAAAAGTTTTGCGAAAATATTTGTGAAAATACAGCGCAAACTGCAGTTAAAACTAAACTGAAGCGGAGCTGACAGTTCTTATACAGTACAGTTAATTGGGAAGAGTGGCTCAACAGTTATAGCAGTGTGACAAGGACTGAGCTGAGAGCTTATTCCAAAAGCAGAGTCGGCCGTACAAAGAAGCACAGAGAGCGGGAGAGGCTTCAGCTGATCCTACACTGAGCTGAATGAGGTTTACATCTCTCCGCGCTTAATAGCTCTCTAAGCGAGCAAAATCTTTTGAAATACGGAAGTCATATGGCAATCGATTTCCTACTGGGTGGTCATTGTCGTAGCACATAGCCCACTGTAAACGCGAAAATGACAAGCGACTTCATGCGACTTTCAATCTAACATTTACACTTTAACATAACTATGCTTTGACTCACCAAAAATATCCCTCATTTTCTTGGTCCAATACGCGCGAAAAATACGTACGCTCCCAAAGAACAATCCAAAAATTAAACCAACTGTCAAACAAATTCATTGGCTGTGCGAATGGCGTTAGCGCTGAAGGCACATAGCTGCCCTCTGCGGGATTGCCCACCAATCGATTGATCCAAAACGCCGGCCCCGTCGTTATCGAAATGATTATCGGGCACTTGTATAGTGATGCAAGTCCCATTTGGAAATCGTTTAGGAAATAACCGAATATCAAAAGATCAAAATCACTTTCTTTCGCGTGTTTTATCCAATCTTTCATCAGCGGTTGCGACAGCGCCATATCGGACAGCAGCAGCGTATTACTCAGCATCTTAAGGAAGTCCCAATATGCAGTACGATTTCTCCATTCGAAGGGTCGCAGCTTGCCCAATTGCTCGCTAGGAAGTTCGATTTGTATGTAGCGATATGGCGCTCTCGGTCTTGCATTCTCTATCGTACCGATGACCGTCACATTGTGGCCAGTTCTGGCGATCAGCTCAGCGATGCGACAATGGTGGAAAAGCGTCGTTGTAGAAAATGTTGGAAAGAAGCCGAGTATGTTTGCGGAGCTGATGAGCGTGGGCAGCCAGCAAGCGGTCAGAAGCAGGAAAGCGCAAGTGAAGACTTTAGCGGTGTGCGGTGTGTTGTTGTCAAGCATAGGCATTTCTTTGTTTTTTTTTTTTACAGCTGCACTTAATTAGGTTTTAGTGAGTACTGAATATTTAGTTGAATGCTGTAGCGATCGTGCTGTTTGTAGTCAGTGTGGGAGGTGAGAGCAGAATAGCGCAGAGAGAGACAGCTGAGCTCAGTCGAAAGATAAGTTTGCGCTGAATATCGATCATGTAGGGTTTATTGATGGTGTGTCTGTACGCGCGAAGAAATTATTGGTCCACAATTTCTCCCGATATTTCAACAAAATAACGATAAATTAATGTTAGCAAAAAAAAAAAATATATATATTTGTATATATATTTATTTATAAAGCCAACGGGTTCAAATAAACGGCGGATAACAAATTTTTACGGGAACGAGCTTGTATTGAGTATGTGCGTTTCTTTCTCTCCCTTTAGATCTATCAATTTCTGTCAGTCTTTGTCAAACAGAGTTGCCAGATATTGTGGTCAGCGGAAGTTGAGAACATAATCGAGAATTTACAAATGCCATAATACTCCGAAGGTGCAAGGTCAGGGCTATATGGTGGACGCATCAAAACTTCCCAGCCAAGCTCGCCCAGTTTTTGCCGAGTAATCAAAGAAGTGTGTGGTCTAGCGTGCTTCTGATGGAAGACGAAACCCTTTCTGTTGATCATTTCTGACCGTTTTTTTCGATTGCTTGCTTCAATCTCATCATTTGTTGACAGTAAAATGTAGAATGAATCGTTCGACCAGGCTGGAGCAGCTCATAGTGGATGATTCCTTTCCAAACCCACCAAACAGTCAGCACAACCTTTTGAGGCGTCAATACTGGCTTTGGGGCCATTTGTGGAGCTTCACCACGCTTCGACCATGATCTTTTTCGCACACTATTTTCGTATTTGCAACGACATTTCTTCACAAAATACGAGAAGACTTTTTCGACTACCAAATATTATATTTTAGAATTGCGTTTTCGTTTAAAACCCATCAATAATTTTTTTAGTTAATTTTTAAACTCAAAATGCAACATTGGTAGGTCAACAAAAACAACACTCCTTTTCACAAGGGACTAGTCGACAAGTGCGACGTCTAAATAGCAAACAAAGGGTATAAAAAGTAAAGCACAAAAAAAAAAAAAAAATGAAGCACAAATAACCGTTGGACAGCAGCCATTCGCATTAGCCGCTGAGAGCAGCGCAAGAAGGTAAGTGTCATCAATCAGACTGGAAAAGTAATGCAGCTACATAGGTACTTTAAAATACCAATAAAGCGGAGAAAGAGAAATGCAGAACGACAACAGATGCGAGAGAAATATGGAAAGGTGATAATTTCCTAGAGATCCAACTAAAAAGTGTGAAAAACACAGGAATATTCAAAGCGTAGAATGAGAGTCCAAGTAAAGTCAGCTGTGAGCTGAGCGGCTTGACTTTGCGATGGAAATTGAATTGTGCACGAAAGTGAGGAATAGAAAAAAGAAAAAGAATGAAAAAAAAACACAAGAATGTAACAAATGCATTGAACAACAACAAAAATAAGAAAAACTATGTACGAACAGCCAACAATGCTGAAAGCGATAAGCGCACAAGACAAAGCGCTGAGTGGACAGCAGCTGTCAGGCGGTGGCAATTTGAGGCTGCACACCTGCTGCGCACACACGAGCATACAAAAAAACTACATATGGAATAACTCATGTGCGGTTAGATGACTTCAGGCGAGTAGTAAAAATTACAAAAAAAAAATTAAAAACAAAATCGCCAATGCAAAAAGTTTTAATATAAAAATTGCCAAAAAAATTTGAAAGTAAAAAATGCCCAAAAATTTTTACATAAAAATTGTAAAAAAAAGATAAAATAAAAATTGTAAAAAAAATTTAAAAAATGTAAGAAAAAAATTAAAAGAAAATTGCAAAGTGAAAAATTTAGAAAAATTTTAAAATAAAAAATGACAATTTTGATATAAAAATTTTAAAATAAAAAAAGCAAAAAAATGCAAAATAAACAATGCAAAAAAATTGTTAAAATAAAAATAGCAAAGGCAACTGAAAAAAAATTCAACAAAATAAAAAAACACTAAGAAAAAGAGTTAAAGCGGAAAATCCTGTTTGGCGTTCCTTTTTTATTTCTTGTTTTTCAAAACTGCAACAGTATAGCCCGGCGTCCAACAGTTTTTGCTTCAATATCAAATGTGAGAAAAGTGAAAATAGACAAAAATCACATAGCAATGGTCCACGGGGAGCAGGCGGCGCTAGTATGCGTTTGCAGCAAATGTTGCATGCCACAGTGAAACTGGTGACAGTAGCAATTGATGTTGCTGTTTAGGCGAGCACAAGTTGTATGGCATTCCATAAAAAGTGATATTGACCATATATGAAGGCAATGGCATGGCAGAAACAAGCAAGCTATTCGCCGAGAAAAAATATGGAAGTTGTTATTTTTTACGAAGCAAATACTATTAAATGCATGTGCGCAGAGCTTCTGACAAATGGAAAAAAGAAAGAAAATATTACTGAAAAAAATTGTAAAATAAATTTTAAGCAATTCAAGATATTTTTTCAAATAAACTAGTTTTTCATACATAAACTTGATTTTGATTGCAAAGTTTGTATGGCACCTATATGCTATGGTGGTCTGATCTAAACCATTTCTTCGGAGATTGTGCTACTGCCTTAGACAATAATCGATGGCAGATTTCGTGAAGATATTTTGTCAGATGGAAAAGCTCTACATACATGCACTTGGTTCCGACCCATCAGTTTGTATGACAGTTATATGCTATAGCAGGTATCGATATCGACGGTTCCGACAAATGAGCTGCTTTTTGAGAAGAAAAACACATGTGCAAAATTTCAGATCGATATTTCAAAAATTGAGGATAGTTCGCTTATATAAAAACGGACGGACCGAGGGACTTCGTAAATTAGGTCGCAGCGCTTCAGGAAACAGCATTTGAGATCAAACCGACATGTATTACTAATATTAGCCTGTAAAGATATCTAATTATACATTAATATGTCATCTTAACAGCTGGAAATAAATAAGTATCCATTAAAGACATATTTGCTACTTCGAGGCTTTTGGAGTCAGTTTGACCAATATCTACTCCTTTTTTTTCTAGATATTATTATAGTTTATAGTTGGTATACTTTTGAGTATAAAAAACTGATTCCTGTTATTAATCTTTCTAACCCACCGGATCGAATAGCACGAAAAAGGAAACTCAACTCTTCTTAGAGCTTGTCTAATAGTTTGCAAACACCTCCACGTTGAGCTTAAAATCTTAGGTTTAAATCGAAAGTACTCAACTATTCTTCGAACTCGATTGCAGAAGAAACTTTCAACGGGATTTAGACGTTAGAATGTACCACTCATAACTCGTAACTGAAACAGTCTAATACTTAGCAGAACGCATCAATCTAGTGATCTTCAGCTAATACGACACACACCTGTCTCATTCTGCTAAGAAACCTCATCACACACTTGAAGCTACAAAACAATTTGTCTTTCCTCTTGACACCATTATCTCTCATGCGTGCGATTAGATGAATACGTATAGAAGACGCAAAAAAGACTTTCAATGGAAACGCACATAACCTCACATTACACGGATAGCTGGTGCGCATTGCGCGCCCGGTCATTTGGAGTGAAATTGCGAAAGCAGTCGTAAATCTTAATAAAGTCGCTGTGAGCCAACGATGTGTAGCAGCAAATGTGCCGCGGCGTCGCCGGTGCTTGTGGCGGCCAGTAAGGCAAGACGGGTGGACAATTTAGTAAAGCGAGAAAGCGACGGAGCTCAATTGACAAAGGGAGCGACAAAAACCGTAGCTGAGCAGGGCAGTTAGACTTGGCGACGACAACGACGACGATGCTGCTCCAAAGGCAATTGTGGTTTGGCGGTTTGTTACCAGCGTGGCGCCAAAGCAGTCAAGCACACAGATTGGCTACGAAGACTGTGACAAAAGAGAGTAGGTGGAAGACACAGCGCGTCGAGTTGGCCACCGCTAAGCAAAGCCGGTCAAGCAGGTCGGACCATGCGCTGGCTTAATGTTTTTTGCCAGTACGTACAGTATGTGAGCTTCTAAGCAACCAACGAGCCTACCAGACGGCTTCTTCAGCAACAACAGCAATGCGTGGTACGGCCTAGTAGCTGCGGAGCGTGACAGATTCAAAGTTTTAATCGCATTAGAAATGCTTAATATTGAAAAGATACTATATTTAAAGTTGTTGATCTAGCCAAGCATATACAAGGCAAGCCACTTCGGGCGCTGTCGCCAGTCACGAAAGCCCGTAATTCACAAATTTGTAATTTCACACTTCTACGCCTCAACGCACGGCCGTGAAGAGCACATTCACTCAAACAAGCTTAGCAGTGCGTACTTGGCTGCTTATGAACTTATGGTTTAACAAGTTTATGGCTTGCTGAGCTTAGTGTATGGCTGGCGTGTACTCGGCTTTGTTAAGAACCGTTTATTATTGCCAACTTCTTACTTCAAATGGCGGCAGGCGAGTGCTTTGCTTAAGCCATAAACTGAAAGTTGTATTTAATGAGACTTGGATGAGTGGATTAGGGTGGCGGACGCCAAAGAAGCCAAAATGAAGACCGCACACAGCTGTGTAACGCAGCAAAGCTATATGCAAAGAAGAAACAAAACCTAAAAGCACGCCAAAACAATAAAAACAAGCGGAACTGTGGTGTCGACTTCGCTTTGGACTCGTGTGTGCATGTGGTGGGCCCTCGAAAAGCCGGCTACCAATTTTGTTTTGCTCACGTCGTTCCGGCAAACAAACAACAAATGACGCAGACGCAGAAACCGAGCTAACGTCGGCGGTCGGCGGTTGAGCTGAGGTGAATTATGAAAGTTAAAACAGAGCTGCAAAAGCAGACAGGCATATCGTGCCTCTCACTAAGGGTGCTACGAAAGGGAATATGTATTTGTAAGGAGATAGAAAGCAAAAGAAGTAAAGGGACCTCGGTATACTGAGTATTTGGCTACTACTAGGAAGACCACAGTTTCAAACTTGACATAAGCACGAAATATAGATATTTATTTTAGATGACAGAGACAGAGAGGTTCCTAAGCCTCTGAATATACAGTTGTTATAAAAAAGTGTAAATCCTTCCTATTTTCGCCGACGATTTTAAAATAGAAAAAGCCTCTAAATGTCGAATAATTTCTTGTAAATTGGGAAAGAAGCTGCACAAAACTTCTAGCAGAGGCGTAAGCGTCTTTTATATAGATTTTTCCAGTTACTAGAGCTCTGCGGCAAACACAAACAGTCCTTACAAGTGAATGTCATGTACCGTTTCAAATCCGTTCCAACAAAACTATTTTGAGAATAGCTCAGTTATATTCATCAACCTATTGGAAACCCAAAAAAATCAACAAGTACTTCCCATTTTTATCGTTTACTTGATAATTTACTATTCAGCTTCTGAACTTTATCTGAAACTTTCGAACTTTTGCCAAACCAATAGAGCTTTATAGCCTTAATTGATCAATTAACTCCGGTGTGAAAAAGCTTATAGGTGGTGCTTCGAACTCTTTAAATGGTTTAATAAGATATAGATATAAGAACCGCGAATCCAAAATCCAAAACATCCAGATTGACACTAAATTTTTTGAAGATTCTCCGAAAAATCTAGGTTTCAACAAGGAAATTTGTATATTTTCAGTAAAACAATTGAGTCTTCAAATAAGAAGAATCGTATTTTTGAGCGAAATATAATGGACGAGTACATGTATTCAACGAGATAAGAAAATGTGAAGTGAGTTTTCAAATAGGATGGCCCTAAAATTTACCTAACAGTTATCATTGCAGCGGAGAAAGAACAGCGGTCTTCTGAGATCCCTTCCCTCGAGCTGGACCACATTTCAAAGGTTAGGACTACGCTGAGCCCCAAAGAAGAAAAGTATGTGGTCTTAATGATTTTTCACTTGTTTTTAGATTTACCAACAACACAATTTGCATAATATTTGACCGTAGTCTACATACATATGTATTTTCGAGCAGCTTTACCAACACGCCTCATCTTTCGCCAGTGGATCACCCACCCACTACTTCCTACCTGCTTTAATCCCTTCCATTCACCAGTTCGACATATGGAACATGCCTCGGCCGAAACTCCGGCCGCCGTTACGCTTGTTTGCTTGCAGTTGTCATCGATGCTTGTAAAATTGCGGTAGGACAAGAGCGTAAACAATTGTGTGCGTGTGTAGTGAATGGATGAGCAACCCCAAACCCCAACCCCTGAAAAGCAGGCGTGTAGCAGCAAATAAGGGAGCAAAACAGAACGCTGAACATTGCAATTTGCAGCCAAGCCCACGAAGTGAAATGTCAAACTTCGTATCGGCAGGCGTGTGTGGTGTGTTTTGCTTGTAATACAGTGGTGAGTTTTCACTATCAGTAAATTAAAAGCATGCCAGCGTTTAGCGCGTCCTACTATAGTTACCGTTGTGATGGCACAGGAAAAGTGGAAAACATGCAGCAGCAACACGCGTTCGGCCAGTTGGAATCAGTTGTGCGGCAGCTTGCGAGCGTTACGGTTATGTGAAGCGCGAAAAGCGGTGGAAAATTCGTGAAATCATTAGCAATATTATATTAAGTATTTGCGGTGCGGCAGACACGCGTCGCGTAAAGTGTTTAAAGTTGCGCGCTATTGTCAACATAACGGCAGCACTTGTGCGACAATTTGCAGGCAAGTCGGTTGTGTGGTTAGTGGCACAAGTGGAAGTGCGTTTATACAAGTGTCCATGAGTGAGTTGGCAACTTTGATGTGGCAGCGGAACGCAATGCGTTTTTTATTACAATCACATTTTTTGTTTTTGTTGTAATTTCATTTGACGACTTTTTTATGGCGAAACAGCAGCGACAATTTTTTTCATGACATTGCAACTTTGACAAGCGAAAGTTGTTTGGTGCATAAAACAATTATAATATTTTTTGTATCAGCCTGAGTTACGTGCAGGCAATTTAAAAATATTGCGACAGCGTTTTCTTTCGATTTTCAGTACTTAAAAGGTTTTGGTTTTACTTAATAATATATTAGCAAGTTTTGAAATTTTTGTTATTTGTATAAGAAATTAATGATTTTGCATACTAGACATATATATTTAAAAAAATTAAA